CTTCCCGCTCCCCGCGTGGATCCCCGCCGGGCCCGGCGGATCCGGAGGCGGCGGCCGTCTTTGGTGGGCTCCGGTGGGTGTCGCGGTTCGAGGCGGCGGCGCGAGAGAGGAGAAGGGAGCGGAGGGGCTGGTTCCCCCACCGCGGCGGCGTTGCCGGGCGCGGGCTCCTGCGTAAAAGCGGGCGCCGTGACAGGCCGGCCGGTGAGGCGCCCGCCGCCGGGGGAGGCCGCGACGGAGCTCCCGGACCGGCCATGGGCTGAGACAGATCCTCGCTGAGCAGGTGCAGTGATCCGAGGTTCCAGGGGGGGAGTCTCCACCCCGTCAGGACGCGTCCTACCCAACCTTTAGACCTTCCCTCGGCTCCTCCCCAAAGGCCCTCCGGACCCAGCGCGGGCCGTCCCTGTGACCCCCGACCTCCTGTGCAGAATCCCACCCCCACCCGCCATCCCAACCCCGTAGGCCCCTTGGGCCCGCTTGCTCTTCTGCCCCCCTCCCCGTGTTTTGAGCCCCTCGCTTGTCTCCACAGTGCCCGAGAACTACCTGGTAACCCGTCCTCTCTCTCCTACCCCAGAGGGGTGGGGGAAGGGGAGGAGGAGAAAAGTGGGAGTGGTGGTCCCTCCGTCCAGAGTTCCCGGTTGACAACAAATCCATCCTGTTTTCTTTCAAGCCTGTGGTGAAAGTGACCCACCCCTACTCCCCAGAACATGCCGGGGTGACCTCCTCCCAGACCTTCCGGTGGTGGCCTACCTGGCCCTCCCCAGGGACACTATGCAACCCCAGCGTGATCTTCGAGGCCTCTGGCTCCTGCTGCTGTCCTTGTTCCTGCTCCTCTTTGAAGTGGCCAGAGCTGGGCGACCTGTGGTGAGCTGTCCTACCGACTGCCTGTGCGCCAGCAACATTCTCAGCTGCTCCAAGCAGAAGCTGCCCAACGTGCCCCACTCCTTACCCAGCTACACCGCACTGCTGGACCTCAGCCACAACAACCTGAGCCGCCTTCGGGCTGAGTGGACCTCCACGCGCCTCACCCACCTGCATTCCCTGCTCCTGAGCCACAACCACCTGAATTTCATCTCCTCCGAGGCCTTTTCCCCAGTACCCAATCTGCGCTATCTGGACCTCTCCTCCAACCAACTGCGCACGCTGGACGAATTCCTGTTCAGCGAGCTGCAACAACTGGAGGTACTGCTGCTCTACAATAACCACATCGTGACGGTGGACCGCTACGCTTTCGACGACATGGTCCAGCTGCAGAAACTCTACTTGAGCCAGAACCAGATCTCCCGCTTCCCTCTGGAATTGGTCAAGGAAGGAAACAAACTACCAAAACTAATGCTTCTGGATCTCTCTTCCAACAAGCTGAAGACCTTGCCACTGAGCGACCTGCAGAAGCTGCCAGCGTGGGTCAAGAATGGGCTGTACCTACACAACAACCCCTTGCAATGCACCTGCCAGCTTTACCAGCTCTTTTCACACTGGCAGTACCGGCAGCTGAGTTCTGTGATGGACTTTCAGGAGGATTTGTACTGCGTGTATTCCAAGAAGCTGCACAATATCTTCAACATGGATTTCCTCAATTGCAGCGAGTACAAGGAGAGTGCCTGGGAGGCCCACCTGGGTGACAGCTTAACCATCACGTGTGACACCAAGCAGCAGGGGATGACCAAGGTGTGGGTGACACCAAACAATGAACGGGTGCTAAATCAGGGGGCCAATAGCACAGTGACAGTGTCAGAGGAAGGCAACCTTCATTTCGAGCAAGTGCAGATTCAGGATGGGGGTGTGTATACCTGCTATGCCATGGGGGAGACTTTCAATGAGACCCTGTCAGTGGAGTTGAAAGTGTACAACGTCACCTCGCATGGACACCATGACACCCTCAATACAGCTTATACCACACTAGTGGGTTGTATCCTCAGTGTGGTCCTGGTCCTCATATACCTGTACCTCACCCCTTGCCGCTGCTGGTGCCGGGGTGTAGAGAAGCCTTCTAGCCATCAAGGAGATAGTCTCAGCTCTTCCATGCTTAGTACCACACCCAACCACGATCCTATGGCTGGCGGGGACAAAGATGATGGTTTTGACCGGAGGGTGGCCTTCCTGGAACCTGCTGGACCTGGGCAGGGTCAAAACGGCAAGCTCAAGCCAGGCAACACTCTGCCGGTGCCCGAAGCAACCGGAAAGGGTCAACGGAGGATGTCAGATCCAGAATCGGTCAGCTCAGTCTTCTCTGATACGCCCATTGTGGTGTGAGCAGGATAGGTTGGTTGGGGAGATTTTTGCCCCAGGAGAGGTAATGCACCCCTGAAGGCTATGAGGGGATGGAAGAGAGGGCTGGCTGCCCAAGGGAGTGGGTTCCTCCTGACCTCCAGGGAATTGGTCACGGGCACAGACAGTAGGCAGGATCCCAATAAGGGTGTGGCTGCCTAGAGTTACAAATATGGGCATATTAATCCTCAGGCAAATGCTACACCCCTGTCCAAAGCCTTGGCAATTCTCAGTGTGGTAGAGGAAGAAAGAGGAACGTGTCTGGGCTGGCTGGAAAATGAGAAAGGGGTGAGGGGAAGAACAGATTCCCTAAACTCTTTTGAGGTCATCTCTAGCTCCTTAAGAGAAAACCATTTGAAAAAACATTTTTTTTTCTGTCTCCACCCACACCTGGGAAGTTGTGTGTGTTGGGGGAGCCTTCCCAGGAGCCATGTTGGGGAAGCTGCTGGTTAAGGTATTGAAAAAAAAAAAACAAAAAACTTGGAAATTGAGTCAGGAAAAGGCAATACCTGGATCAGTAACACTCCAGAAGGCTGCAGTGAGACTTCCCATTAAAGCTGCCTTCTTTCCCCATGAGCCCTGGATGGATGGATCTTTGCAGGAGTCTGGCCTCTTGCCTGTTAGGAAAGGTAACAGTGTGGGTCACAGAATCTGTGTCTTGTTCCAGGACAAGTGACACAGATAGGTATGGCAGGAACGAAAGGGTCCTTACAACATAGGTGCCAGCACAACACTTGCAGATGGAGTTAAATTCCAAATAGGGGAATTCCTTCAGCTAGGAAAGCCCTAGATAACATTTGATTCCCAGCCTTTGTGTGTCAGTCCAGAATGGGGTCTGCTGAAGGCAGAGCTTGTGTGGAAGGCTGCCACAGGTATGGTAAGTGGGCCACTCCACCAGAAGGGGAAGGGTACAGCGGCCTCTGTGATGTAGCAGCCAGCTACACCTACCTGGTTTTCCATGTAAGCCATCTCTTCATTCTGTCTTCTTAGCAAGCTCAGGTGGGGTCCTGAGTTTTCCCTATTATGCTGTGCTGCAGAGGGAGGAGTCCAGAGAAGTGTGGTTTTTGACCAGGCTGGGAGATGGAAGGGGCCCAGTATGTGTCTCCTCTGTGTTGCCAAGGTTGATTTGCTTCCCTTAGAGATTTCATTGCTGCCACAAAACCAAAAGCATGGGATTTTTGTTATTGGAGGGGCTGAAACTGGGTGATTTCTGTCCCAGAATGGCTTTTTCGAGTGGGGCTTGAGTTTACTTCTCCCGAGCTACAGGATATCCTGTAGCAGAGATGATCTGTGGCACTGAACTTTCAGAAGCAAAGTTCTGCCATGCCATTGCTCTCAGCTAGAAGTCTGTGTGATTGTGGCTGATAGGCCAGGGCAACATAAAAAGCATAAGTCCAACAGTCTTAGGTTCCATCCAAGGTTGCTTAATACTGTAGGTATGAAGCTGGCCTCCCCTTGACTTCTCCCTTTGACTGTACTATAGGCCCAGGAAGTGGCTGTACATAGTTTCAGCAGGGAGGTGATCATGGAAAAGGTGAAAATGTTCTCTGATGTTGGTCTTTTTCAGTGTCTTTTCTCTCCCATGTTTCCTGTCCATTGGAAGTTCTCCAGGTCCTCTCATTTTCTGACCTGCTTCTTAGGTTCCAAGGGGTGTTATTTGCCTGTGGGTGAGGGCTGTTTGCTAGGAGGGCCTGATGCTTAGGCCGCCTATTAAGACTAGGAAGTAAACATCTTCTCCTTGTCTGTTCCTGGGATCTCAAGGTTGCTGTTCATTCTTTCTTAGTAACCTAGTTTTGTCTAGAGCAAGGTGCAGCAAAATCCCCTCAAGTAGTTGCATGCTCATAGGTATGCATGCTCATAGGTATGCATGCACACCAGCACCTTGACCTCCACCAGGACAGTCAATCTGTACTGCCCACTAATGCCAGTACTCTCAGAATGGTCTCCATCTATGTGCACTCCATGCACAACTTTCTTGTGCCGTAGGAGAGACAGTGATCATGCCAGGCTCCTCAAATACACAGTCATTTGTACTTTAATTTCTGAACACCTTGAATCTTCACCCATATTTCCAGGGCTCTGAATCACTGGAGACGAGGGGCACCATGGGTTGGAGACCTTGGGAGAATGGTGGTGAGGCACCAACTGGTTCTTTAGAACCCTTGGAGACCTCTCTTAAAAGACTATACATATAAGACATTGAACAAGAGCAATGAGACACCACAAAGGAAACTGGTAGAAGACCAAGCAGCTGTGAGTTGTCTTTCCTATGTTAACTGTCCTACTACAGACAGATAGGACAGGAAAGTTACCTGGTTGTTTTTCAGAGACATTTGAGGATTATTGTCAGTAGAGCTATAGGAACAGGATTCTCACCTCAGATTTATCAGGAAACATGGGGAAATCGCTCTTCATGTTGCAGTTTCCTTATCTAGGTCTCTGAATCCTTTTAAAGTGGACGTCAAATGAAGAAGGCCTTCTGGAACATTCTAGCTGAGCTCCTGAGGATCAGAAGCAGCTCTAACTCTCCCTGACTTCATCCACTAATTTGGTTCCTAGTTTGAGACACCTTGAAGATGTGCCTGGCTGCCCCACCAAGAGAACTCCCTGGCCTCTTGAGCTTTCAGTTGGTAGAACCCACAGGCAGCTTTCTACCTGGGGGACTGAATACTCAACATACCTGAGCTCCTTAGAACCCTGGGTAGGAAACTGCCATGTGTGGTTTTAAGAGTGAGAGATCTCCTCCTCCTCTCCTCCTTACCTTACACCCATAAACCAGACATGTCTCCCAGAAAGCAGGTGTCCCTGGAGACAGAATATGACAGGGCTCTACAATATGTCTATGTAATTATTCGTGATCTTTTTCTTTGCCTGTATTTATGGGGGCCGCAAAGAGAGGGTGCACCCCAGCTGGGGAGCACAAAGCCAGTTGACTTGTTTTGTGTGTGTTATCTCTGTGCTTCCTTTTCCTGTGTCCAGGACCCTGTTCCTCTCCATTGTGTATTTCCAGGCTGGCAAACCTCAGAGCCTCTAGGCTCTGGAAACTAGACAATAACCATTAAACCTGGCTTGAGTCTCTGTTCTGGCACAGTCTGTGGTTGGTTTATTTATCTTTTCATCCTATGGGTGGGGTTCAGTGTACCTCAGAAGAGTGTGACTTGTGTAGGGAGGGAATCTTTAAGTGCTGTTATAAAGTCATAGGTAAACTCCACAATAGGCATTAAGATATAGACTGGGGTCAGCAAACTTTTCTGTTACAAGCCAGGTAGTTAACAGTGTGGGCTTTATAGGCTACACATCCTATCAGACCTTAGCTTGCTACTATAGCAAGAAAACATCTACAGACAGTATATAAATGAGTGATTGTGGTTCTGTTTCAGAATATTAGTCCATTTTCAGTTGCTAAAACAAAACACACAAAGCTGAGTATTCCATAAAGAAAAGAGATTTATTTAGCTTATAGTTTTGAAGATGAAGTTAAAGATTAGACAGGCCTATTGAGTTGGCTTTTGATAAGCCCCTCATGATGGTTGGCATGATAATGGTGGTAGAGCATGTAGAAGAGCTGACTGGCATGATCAGACAGATCTAGGTGTCACAGGCGTGGGTGATGCTTACAGTGACCTAACTTCCTCTCATTAGGCTCCACCTCTTCCTTTCAATACTTCTACCACAGGGATAAAGCTTTCAGTACATGCAAATCATAGCAAAACTACAGCATCCGGTGAGATTTTATTTATTGACATGAAATTTTGAATTATTTTAGGATTTTAACTTATTTATTTTTGTTGGTCATGGGGCTTGAACTCTGGGCCTGGGCACTGTCCCTCAGCTTTTCATCTCAAGGCTAGTGCTCTACCATTTGAGCCACAGTGCCACTTTTGGCTTTTTCAGTTTATGTGGTGGTGAGGAATCGAACCCAGGGCCTCATGCATGCGAGGCAAGCACTCTACCACTGAGCCACCTTCCCAGCCCCTAGAATTTTAATTTTTGAGTTTTCCTCAACCATTTAAAAATAATTATTAGCTCACACATCACAGAAAACCAGGCAATGAGCTGGCTTGGCCAACAGACCATAGTTTACCAACCTCTAAAACAGATTTGTGACCAGCACTTTAGCAAGCAAGATTATTGATATCTTACAGCCTGGGTTAAAACTTATAGATGATGAAGACTTCCTGGCTCTTTGCAGGGGAGAGAGGTACCTCCTTGCACAATTCTTTTAAAAATCTAGCTACAACTGAGTGTTGGTGGCTCATATTATAATCTTAGTTACTCAGGAGACTAAGATCTGAGGATCATGGTTCAAAGTCAGCCTGGACAGGAAACATACCAAAAAAAGGTGGAAATCGATCTGTGGCCCAAAATGGTAGAGTACTAGCCTTGAACACAAAAGCTCAGGGACAGCACTCAGACCCTGAGTTCAAATCCCAGGACAGGAAAAAAAAAAGTCTAGAGTGGACTTACTAATGACACTATGGGAATATTCTAGATTGGGTTTTTTTTAATGGCAGGAAACAGCTCACTTTCATATAATTTAGATTATTCCCAGTATATTTTCATGTTGTGAATGGTAACCATTTTAGGCTGGAAGTATACCTAATAGGTAGATTAATAGTTTTTGACATTTTAGTGTGTCCTAGCCATTCTGTATAATGTAATAAAGCAATCCTTAAAAAAATACATAGACTACTATAAATTGGATTAGATTATGCACTCTGACCAAGCCAAATTCTTTAGCTACTCTCTTGGAAATTCTGAAAGGGACCATCATGGTAAATTCCAAAGGGGAAGAGGGCTTGTCATAAGGAAAAAAGAAATTTTAAGAAATCAGAATTTGGCCTAGAGTGGTGGTTCACACCTGTAATATTAGCATTTGGGAGTTTGGGAGGAAGATTGTGAGTTCCAGACCAGTCTGATTTACAAAAAAATACACATTGAAATCAGCAATTGCATAATTAATCTCTACATTTATAGATTTTCAGTCAAAAGGCTTCTTCTGAAAAACTGTCTTCTTCACTTTGGGAGAAACAATTGAGTAAGAGATAGAGGTACCTCACAACCAGCCACATCAGACAAATCAACCTTGATAATCAATGAAATGAGAGTTATTAGTGTCATAGCTTCTCTCCGGTAGTCCACATTTGTATGTTTGCTTGTTTGTTTTTAAAATTTGCAAAGCAGTTTTTGTACGGATAACAAATTGTCCAAGAGAATTAAGCTGATAAAGAGAAAGGATTGGAGACGACTTGGTGTTCTCTGTTGTCTGGGTCTGAGCTCAGGAGTTTTGGTACTCCTCTCTCCTCTTTCCATTTTCCAAAGAAAGTCTATGGATGTCTCCCTTCCTGCCCTGCCCTGCCCATAAGTTACCAAAATGTCCCTAGAACCTGGCCAAGATGTGCAATTTTTTCTGCCATGTCTTATAGTACTCCCCCAGCAGTTCACAGGTTCTAAGGGAGGACAATGTGTCAGTTGTCTTTTAGAGCAGAAAATAAGAATTTGATACATGGCCCAGTCCCTCCACCTGGTCTCTCAACTCTTCCTTTTTCTGCATTTGTACCACTTATCTGTTTTCCCAGGCAACCAGTAGCAAAACTTCACCCTACCCTCAAGGCAGAAAAAGCTCACAGCCTGCAGTGGGACAATTGGTTTTTCTGGTTAGATCACAGTGAGACTTTCCTAGGACTTGAGAATAGCTAAGGCAGCTGCCAATAAGGTGTGTTTATCAGGCTAATATACTGACAGGTGGAAAGTATTAAATGCTGTGATACTTAGGCTGCTATCTAGTCTACTGAGGCCTTTTAATCTACTCAGACTGGCTACAGTCCCCAGAGCACAAAAGACACAGAGTTGTGGGCTGAGAAAATGAGTACATGAAGGCCTGCAGTGTGACTTCCAGGTGCCATTGCATACTTAGGCATAAATAAGGTCAGTGTGTGTGTGCCAGTAAGTGTGTGTGCATGCAAACACAGGCTAGGGAGGCCTGGGGTTAGGTAGTACTTTGTACTTCTTTCTCTCTCACCTCCCACTGCTCCCTTGGTCATAGTTTGCTTTAAATATGGGCCTGAGCTGGACTGAGTATCCTTAGAATAAACTTTGAAGTAATGGGGGATCTGCTTTAAAAACAGGGGCCACTTAGTACATGTGCAGTGAAACAGAGATGACTCCTCAAACCACAGAACAGCCTGAAATGTTTCCATAATCTGCTTCTAAGAGAGGTTAAAACTCAACTGAGAAATTCTTTTTTTCTCCAGTCATAGGGCTTGAACTTGGATCCTGGGCATTGTTCCTGATCTTTTTCATTCAAGGCTAGCACTCTTTTTGAGCCACCGTGCCACTTCCAGTTTTCTGGTAGTTAATTGGAGATAAGAGTCTTATGGATTTTCCTGCCTAGGCTGGCTTCAAACTTTAATCTCAAATCTTAGCCTCCTGAGTAGTTAGGATTACAGGTGTGAGCCACCAGCACCCATCTCATCTGAGAAATTGTGATAAGAGCAGCTGGATTAATGGACTGACCATACTGGTGCCTAGCCCAGTCAGCAGGGTGGGGATAGGCTACTAGAGGTCATTTGTGCTTATGTTAAGCCCAGCTCAGTGTTGATACTGTCTACTTCCAGCCAGGCTCTAGGATAGTTCTGGGGCACTGCCTCCCATCATTCAGCATCTGTCTTATTTGTGCCCATATCGACAAAATGGCTACAGGTAGGCTCACAAAGCCTAACTAGTGTTAATTCCTGAATCCCAGGACAGAAAAAAAAGATAAAAAAATGAATACTCCAGCCTCTGCTGCTGCTGTTTCTGCCTCTCTGCTTTTACTCTAGTCCCGACTATAGCCTACTCTCAGACAAATGGAATGGAAAGTACCCTCTGATTTAAAATTTAAACAAAACTTTTTGTAGCAGGCATGTGTGGATGTGGAATGTGTGTGTGCGTACATGCTTGTGCAATTCTGATAAAGTCCCAAGAAGGGAGTGATCCTATTTCAATAGCCTGGGAAAGGTGGAAGGAAACCAGGTTGTAGCCCCCTGGAAGACAAGAGCCATGTCCTCATAGTTCTGTGGCCCAGCATGAGGGTCAGAGGGCAAACCAGACTGCCAGGATGGCCTGCAGTTTTAGCTACTATTGCTCCTCCTATTCAGACAGAATTAAGGGAAAAGAGATTCACATTAGATAATTTGTAACCAGAAGCTCCTGTCAAAGATGAGCTCCTGGTATTTCAGGCAAGGCTTGGGAATAATTGTACTCATATAAGATATTGCAGCCAGCCTGGTGACTTGAGAGCCCCAGGCAGGGAGCACATAGTGCAAACCTCACTAGTCATTGCCTTGGTAGCATTTGTGGCAGGAGGGGTAAGGGCTGACCTTGAATCTAGAAGAAATGTGTCTGTGTTTTCTTACAATGGCAGCACAACCTTTCTGAAGCATGGGTCCCTCCGAGCGTCATTATCCTCAGAGGTTTATCATCTGTCTAGGAAGCAAGGCCCAGATCCAGGCTCAATGAGAGAGAAAAAGACAACATAACACCACCGGTTTATATGTGTTTAGTGTTTTGATATTCAGTGCCTGTTAACATTCATTCTCTCTTGTAACCCTCACAACATCCCTGTGAGGTAGGCAGAGTAGCCAGTGGTTTGCTCATAGTCACCATCAGCATTAAGGGCTGAGTAAACCCAGATAGCAGCACTCCCAGCACCTTTCATGATGCACAGGCTTGTTATGCCACTCGGACACAAGGGCATTAGGGGTATTCAGCTAGCATCATTGTTTCCTAAGCTTGCAGAGGGGCACAGGAAAAGATGAGGGTATCAGCCAAGCCAGGTAAGCAGAAGGAAGGGCAGAAGTAGGAGAGGTTCCGCTACCTCTGCCACTACCAGTCTTAACTGAGCACATCTGTTCCCTACACATCTCAGCCTCTGACAGGGGCACAGGCCTTACCAGCATATTGAAGAATCTCAGTGCATATTCCCAGAGGAGAGCAGCCTCAAGGCAAGGCTAGACTGTGAGAATCCTGGCTCTCCTCTCCCACAGCGCCTCCCCATCCTGTTATACTCTGCAGCCCAGGAAGAGGAGGAAGGTTAGGGCTGGCTGACTCAGCCTGTGAGTGCTTAGAGATCTAGAGCTGAAAGGCCCCAGCACCATTCAACTAATGATTATTATTAACTCTGAACAGGCCTTGGCACAGCAGCCAGCTGGCTCAGGGAGGATGCCTGGATCTCCCACAGTGAGGTTTGAAAAACAAGACCAGCAGCAGCCATGCATGGGGGTGGCAGGATGGGGACAATGAAAAAAGAAGGGACAGGCCATTGTCAGGGAAGGAGGAAAGGTGGCCTGTCTTGTGCGGGGGTGAGGAGAGGAGGCACAGGCTGGCAAGCGATAGCAGTCTGTCTTGGATGGGGATGGCAGCCAAGGAGGTGAGGCTGAAGACTTCCTCGGAGATAGAGCTCCTGCCATTCAGTACCACCCCCATCCCGGATGGGGCTCAAGGGATGGGGGGGGGTTACAGGAACAAGTGGGGTTGGGGAGCGGTATCCAAACTCAGAACATGTAATCCCATTGCTATTCAGATTTGGATACAAAGCTATAATGTCCTCAAGGTTGAGTCTGAATATAATCAACTTGGAACACAATCAAATATGGAATCAGGACTTAGTGAGCTTGATATGGAAATCTGTGCAAATGGCAGGCTTCTCCTTCCCCCCCCCCCCAAACAGGCTGCTTACTAGTAGCTTTCCCTAGTCAGGGAACAAGGGCAAAGATCAGTCATTTGCTTCTCCCCTGAGACCTCTGGTTTATGTTCAAAGCCCAGCTTGTGCCCCATACATTAGGCGATACAGAGAAGTGGGGGGAGGCCAAGTGGAGCACATGGCCAGGAGGCATATTCAGCCAACAGCCACTGAGATCCCAGCTGGAGGAAGAGTGTCCTGGCACCAAAATCTAATGGTTGTCCAGCTGCTGCCCCTGGATATGAGGGCAGGTGGTGTGATGCAGGGAGAAATGGAAAGACAGGAAGGGAGGGGAAGTCCCCCCCCCCCACAATGTGGCCTGCTAGGAAGAAGGGCTCCTCCTGGTGACCTATTCCTTATACTGCAGTCAGGCCCAGCTGAGCAGGAGACCGACCACCTGTGCTCACTCTCCCTCTGCCCGATACCCTTGCCCTCTAGGCCTGCTGGTCAGAAAGGCAGCAGCTGGGTCCTTTCCTCCTGCAGAATATAAATGACTCTCCTTCCTCCCAGGGCTGGGAATAGACATCAGATGGCACAGCCCACGCAAACTGCCGGCTGTCAGCACGCCTGCCCACCCGCCCACCAGCCCCCCCGCACCACCTGGGAGGAGCAACACCTCAGACAAGCTCAGGCTTCCCTGGCATCTCCTGCTTGCTCTTAGAGCAAGCTGGTGAACTCTTCCTGGCTCGGCATGTATATACAAGAGGAGATGACACTCCCTCCCCCACAACCCTGCTATGATGGAAGTGCTGGATCGAGTATCCCCAGGTGAAAATTTACTCCATGCAGCCTCATAATCACTTCTTCCAAGTTCTTATCATGCCGGATGGAGACACTGAAAGAGACACAAGCAATCACCTCTGGACTGCAGGGGTTTCTTTCAGACACCTAGTGTTAAGAGCGCTCCAGGGAAATCCATCTCACTCAGGAAGGCATTCCTGTGCTATTGAATCACACCAGCCCTCCTACTTCCCAGCCACCTGGAGAGGGCCTTGAATCCTGAGAAGGCTTGGGATGTTTGATACTGACATTGAGAACACCCCTCCAGGGTCCCCCAAAACAGAGCTCTAGCCCTTCCACCCAGGCCTCCCAGAGTTCCCAATGGATTCAGTCTCCCTGCATAGAAATCTGCATAGCAGCTTTTCATGGTTCAACTGTTTTCAGTCCTTGCCATAATTTATGAAGGTCTCATCTCCCAGACTAAGCCAGACCACAGCTAACTAGTCTGGCATTCAGCCCTCACTGCCAAGGGCAGTCTGGGGGAAATACTTTTAGCTGGATTAAGGAGGGGTCTCTACAGGAAAGAGAGCACAGCCCTCATTTGCCAGTGGCACTGAACACAGCCCCTCTTAGGCCAAATTTCTAACAGGAGACTACTAAGGAAAGCTTAAATGATGGGGAGAAGAGGAACCAGGGAGTCTCTATTTTCCTTGGATCAGAAGAGCTCCACCCACTTCCTTGATCCTTATTTGTTCTAAAACCTTTGGAATTGTTCCATGAACAATGAGCTAAGGCAAGACCCTAAGAAAGGCAAAAAGCACAAGATGCTTAGGACTACTTTGCCCTGAGAATGGATATGGGACAGCACACCCAGGGACTATGTATGGCCCAGATTCTCAGGTAAGCTAAAGGAAGTTCTTAGCTGAGGGAAGGAGTCATCCAGGAGCCAAAGGCTTGGTTAATCTGATTTTCCCCTGTTCCTCCATAAACTTTAAAGTGACTTTAGTGCCTTTACTGTCTTAAAAGTTCAGAAAACTGGGTTGGGAAGTTGGCTCAGTGGTAGAATGCTTGCCTTGCATGCATGAGGCCCTGCGTTCGATTCCTCAGCACCACATAAACAGAAAAAGCCAGAAGGGGTGATGTGGCGTAAGTGGTAGAGCGCTAGCCTTGAGCTGAAGAGCTGAGGGACAGCGCCCAGGTCCAGAGTTCAAGCCCCACAGCCAACAAAACAAAACAGAAGACACTCTCTTGAACTCTTTCTTTCCACAGAGCCTGACCTTTAGAGCTCTGTTCCAGAGGCCATATCAGCTTCAATTTCTGAAGGGCTACAAGGGCAGATTTGTCCCTCCAGGAAAGTAAACGGAGAATGAATTACATCCTGAGTCTGCTAAGTGGTCCACGTGGTCCACAGCTAGGAGAGTCTTCAGTGATATCGACTGATACTGAATATTAGAGATAGAAGGGACTTAAGAGATTGCTTAAAAACTTTCACAGATGAGGAAACTGAAGTCCTGAGATATGGAACTTACCTAAGGTTAGTTATGTAATAGAGCCTAAAGAGAAGCATCACATTGCTTTCTCAAGAGGTACCCAACCTGGTATGGTGATACAGGATCTGTAATCCTAGCACTTGGGAGGCTGAAGCAGGAAGAGGTTGAGTTTGAGGCCAAACAGGACTAAATAGTGATTACAGGTCAGCTTTGGCTGCACAGTGAGACTTTGTCTCAAAAAAATACAAACCCCAAAACGTAAACAGCCAGATTCCAGTGGCACATGCCTGTAATCCTAGCGAAACAGGGGGCTGAGATCTGAGGGCTAAGGTTTGAGGCGAGGCCAGGCAGGAAAGTCCATAAGACTCTCATTTCCAATTGACTACCCAAAAAAAGCCAGAAGCGGAGGTATGGCTCAAGTAGTAGAGTGCTAGCCTTGCACACAAAAACTCTGGGACAGTGCCCAAGCCCTGAGTTCAAGCCCCAGACTAGCAAAAAAAAAAAAAAAAGTTTAAGAGGTGGGGGCAAATATCCATGGCTTCCATTCATAACTTATAGGATCTCGACTTTACATTAGAAATACAGATAAGAAATTGCCACCACCATCACCTCCACCACCACCTAGTAAGTCTGTTGTCTATCACGAGTAGAGGCTTCATGCTGAAGTTCTCTATCACATTCCACTGTGCTCAATACATTCCCCCATTTTGGTCACCTGGATCATCCTTCAACAAGAGCAACCTGGGTTTTTGTAGCCTTTGGCCCAGAAAGTGCAAAAACTTGGCCACTTCTGAAATGGGTCCCTTAAATATCACCAAGGAACCACTGAAGTCCAAGGTAAGTGTCCCACCTAGAGTCCGTGTTTGGAGGCACTCAAATTTCCATTTTCTTCCTTGGCAAATAGGATCTAGAGATCTGGTGCATAATTACCAGGGCTGGGTACAAGGGCAGTGCTAGGCACAGATACCAAGCTGCACCTTTGATCTGGGCTTGGAACCACACTGAATACATGCCCAGAAGCACTGTTACTGTAGCCATCAGGTAGACAACCAGTCCACATGTCAGATGATAGAGCTTGAGACGAGCTACCCTTGAGACCCTGGCTGCTCGGGGACAAAGGAGGCAAAGCCCACACAGTGCTTGGCCACCACTGACCAGCATTGTCAGAACTCCTACCCAGCTGTGCCAGGATTCCAGGTGGGGCAGCTCACTTCGGATCTTGCTGGAGATGATGAAGCCCAGGCCCAGGGCAGCACAGAGGATGGCCAGGGTCTGCCCTGCCCAGTGGAGTCGGATTCGGGCCTTTCGGGAACAGAAGAGGAACAAGGAGTATTCAGGAGAGAAGAGTAGGATGGATTCAGCCATGCAGAGGCAGAACTGTGAATACAGGAGAGGGCTAGTGAGCCTCAGGTCTGTTTGGAGGCCTGAGAAAAAAGGAGGTATTATTATACATCTAACCAAAGAAGATAAAGGGTGAAGGCTAAAGGACTTCTAACTGGAACTGCCTTACTCAGGCCATTTCTTGACCAGTAAAACTGCAGATGTTAAACTTCTTCCTGAATTGTGAGGGAAATGACTTAATAATACCCCTTCCACAGCTTCTTATAGACACCTGTAGAGAAATACGTTCCACATCCCCCTACCCTCTCAACCCTTCATTTTCCCCAATTCTTGAAAGATGGGGCCCTAGTTGTCTTTCCCACCTCTCTAAGCCTTAGAAAGGCTGAGCTTCCTGAAAACAGGATTCTTCCCCAGTGGAGAAGCTAAGCATATCCGAACAAATCGGTTGCAGATAGAAGTCCAAACTCACCGCCAAGGCCATGAATACGGGGTGCCAAGAGAAAAGACCTAAGAATCAAAGAGAACAGGCTGATTGCTGGGCACCATTGTTTTTCTCCCCCACTCCCACCTCCATGGCTAGGTGAAGTTTAAAGAATCTGGCCACAGGGGAAAATTCAGCATACCAACTCCAATCCTAACTTAAAAAAAAAAAAAAATCAGGAAAATGGGGCGCCGGTGGCCCACACCTGTAATTCTAGCTACTCAGGAGTCTGAGATCTGAAGATCACGGTTCAAAGCCAGCCCAGGCAGGAAAGTCCCTGACACTCTCCAATACTTAGAAGAAACCGGAAGTGGTAGAGTGGTAGCCTTGAGCAAAAGAAGCTCAGGGAGAACACCCAGGCCCGAAGTTCAAGACCCAGGACAGATAAATAAATTTTAAAAAATTAAAAATACTAAACAATAACAACCAGAAAATTTGGGCAAAAGGGAGCTGCCAAGGGGCTAAGGCCACCAAGAGTGCCTCCCAGTACACACACCTCCACTTGGGTTGGGTTTCCCCAACTGGCACTTCTTGGCTACCAGCCCAGTCCTAGTGTAGACCTCAATCACTTTCCTTCCCTACTATCCTCCAACAGGAGCCTCGTGTTTTATGAAGCACTAGCTCAGTCTTTTCAGTAGCCAGTCTTTGCCCCCCACTCCTTCCCGTACCCACAGTCCCACCCATCCAGGACCCCCGAGCCCCGCCCACAGGCCCTCAGCCTCTCCATCCGGGCCCCTCCCTGGCTGGGGTCGCATTCCACGGCTCCCGGCGCACCCAGCCGCGGCCCCTCCGCACCTCGGCTCCGCCCCCTTCCCTGGCCCCGCCCCGCGCACTCACTGGTTCCTGGCCGGGACAGAACAGTCAGAAAGATGGTGAAGCCCAAAGCCACCAGGTGCGCCAAGATCCCGCTGCCTCTTCGCAGCCAGCGGGTCAGTCTCGGCTCCCTAGCTGGTGCTGGAACCAGATCTACCTCCAGCGGCTGCATGGCTGCGCCGGGCCAGCCCGCACAGTCCAGCTGCTAGAGGCGTCTTCCGGGTTTGCGATCGCGGAGGCGGCGGCGGCTGTCAGGAGTGGCTCCTCCCCGGGGAAGCCGCCGGCAGCGCCGCCGAGGCACTCACAGCGCCCTCTGGGGGCTGGGGGGGAAAGTATGTCGGCCCGGGGGAGGGGCAGGGGAAGTCCCCCACACCCTGACCTACCCACGGGAGAGATCCCAGTCCACCTTCTTTTGTATCTGTATACCAGGAGCTCTACGTCAAGTAGCCTGTGGAAATTACATCTGTGGTTACCGATTCCAGTGAACCCCAAATCACACACTTGGTACCCTGACTCGAGTATTTTAAGCAGCTTTCCAGAAGTACTGGTATTCCCAGGCTGCTTACTTTTTCTATTTCCTCTTCTGCTTGTTATGGAGCAAGATTTCTCCCTACCTTAATGCCAAGGAAAAACAACAGGAAAGGACAAAAAAATAGTTCTTTGTAAAGTGAATTCTGGTTTGAAGACTGAAGGAGGGAGCTGCAAGTCTCATACCCAGAGCAAGAATGGTCTCCAGTGAGATACTTGGAAGAACTAGAGCACTCCCAACCCTTGCCACGTCTGCAACAGCTGCTTAGCCCTGAGGAGCAAGGTAATCCTGAGGAATCAGGGCCTTACATGCCCCAAATTCTGCAGCCTTTTCCCCCCTCTTGCCTCCAAAAAAGCGTAGGCCAACCTATGGAGTCCTACCTGGGAGAGGTTCTATTCCATCCTAAAGAGCAAACCCATAGTGCAGGAAGAAAGACCAAAACAAGCTCTACAGAAATCCGGGACATCTTGAGAGTATTAACCAACCCAGATCAAGCTACATGGTTGAGAAAAGAAGGTTGCTGGTAAGAGGTGGGAAGGGCACAAACAAAAGCTGAGAAGATCTAAAGAGGGATGGAAACCCACGATTGCTGGAAGACCAGAAAAGGGTCAGAAACCAACTCTCAAAGACCCAACTGCAAAGTCAGGAGTGCAGCTCCCTCTTCCCTCTCCAGTTTCTCTTCTCAATGGGGCCAGAATAGTATCTTGGGGGTCAACATTCTAGGGGAGGCTTCCATTCACAGCCACATGCCTCATCATCCTATGGGGAGAGAACATCCCCCCACCCCCCTCCAGACTGCCTGTCATCTCAGCTTCCAAGGGTGAGATTAGGCAAACTAAGGACCCTCATTTTGCTACATTGTTTTTCTTCCTTTTCAGTGTTTTCTTAGTACCAACAGAACAAGGAGACAGTCTTGAGGTATTTTAAAGAGAGTTTTTTTCTTAAAAAAAATAATATAAAGTTATAAAAAGTGGCAGCAGCCTGGGGCCTGGTCTGGAGGGGAGGAGGTGTTGGCGGCTCCGTTGCAATGGACAGGCACTTTCTTGTTAATGGGCTTTTGACTGCAGGAAGACAAAGAGACAAGAGACAGGGTCAGGGTGAGGGTCATCCTACTCAGTACCTATGTAGACTATAGGACTAAACCTTTATTTCCTGTGGTGGGTCTGATAAATAAAACTGAGCAAGGGGAAGACGAATGCCAACTGGGGCAGCCTATGTAGTGAAGCTAGAAAACGTGTAAAGGCACACATGCACCTGGCCCATGTTTAGACTGGGAGCACATTCCCCACCCCCCCACCCCCGCCCCGTCTCCCAGCAGTCCCTCTTGGCAGAGATCATATGGATAGCTCAAAGCAGGCTCCAACAGAAAAGACAAACCTGGCTGCAGGTTTCACTAGAAAACCTCTGCCACTTGAACCTACTGAGAAGCTGGAGCAGGGCACATGTGTAAGGGGTATACCCATGCCTAAGTGGGCCTTGTCTTGTCCATCTGCTCTTCAATGCCCCGATGCCCAGGAACAGAATCAGTTGCTCAGTATGTTGAGCTACAGGTCAGAGACTCAAACTTCCTTTCTGTTGGATGTTGGAAGTAGTTCTAGGTCCTGGGGTGAGGGCCATAGCCAATTCAGAAAGAAGTGGTCCTTTGATTAAGTCCAAAACAAGGGCAAGGGGAAAAGGTCCAATCAGGTAAAAACTGGAGTCACCATGCTGAGAGCTAATCTATGGTTTCCTAAAGAGGATAGCCCAAAGACTCTTTCCCCATTTTTCATTCCTCTACTTAGCACTTTCTCCATGTCAAGTACCTACTGTGTTCTCACAGTCAGCCCTCCTGACCCCTCTCTGCCTATGCACCGCAGGGAGCTGGGCTGGTACCTTCAGTGTAGAGCACTTCTCCTCAAAGGCCAGGGCTGGGCCTGGCTTCTTGCGGCGCATAGAGCAGGCTGTATCAGCAGGGACACCAGCCTGACAATGCTTGGCCTTCACTGGCCGGCAGTAAGTGGCCAGATTTTTCCTCTTCTTGGCTACTTCCTCCTCAGAGAGGCAGTTGGTCGGCAAGGCCTTGGCTGGGTGACTGACGACATCCCGGTTCTCCAGCTGAGCCTTGACCGGTGTGGGAGGTGGATGTGGGGAACCCCGACAGTCCAGGGGCCCTGTTCTCTTTACCCTTGGCCCCACTGTCCCATTAAGCCCCATGCTCAGAGCTGTTTTAGTCTTGGCTGACAGACCCCGGCAGCCAGAGGGTTTGCCTTTTCCAGTGGGCTCCAGAATGCAAGTCCGTTTGAAAGTGGTAGGGCCTGGGGATAACTTCCGCTTTCGAGAAGGAGCCTCCACCTCTGCCCCATCCTTGCCTTTGGACAACTTGCTGGCCTTGGAAGGTGGCAGCTTGCTGAAGGATGGAGATGGTGTGTTGGCGGGTAGAGGTGAGGTGATGGCCTGGGTGCCGCCCATGCACTCAGCCTGGCTGCAGGCAGCTGCTACACTAGGAGAGCCTGCAGGGTAGCTAGGGACCAGGCTGTCCTTGATGGGAGGCGTAGAGGCTGGGCAGGCAGGTCTGGGGGGTGGGCCTGGAAGTCGGGGGCAGCTGCCCATAGTGGGTGGGCTCAGGGGAGCAGATAAGGAGGAACTGACAAGGTGCGATGGAGGTTCAGCTGGTGGGATCTTCCTATAGCAAAAAGAGAGTCCCACTGTGACTGCCAACCAAACAAGAAAGCCTCCCAACACTCAGTCCTTCTACCCATTGGGAAATGGCCAGTGGAACGCCACAGCTGCTGCCATCTGCTGGCAGACACTGGAACTGAGGGCTGAGGAAGGCACAGGTAGAGGAAGGAATGAACTAGTACAGAATGAGTAGGAGTAACCTCATTTTCAGTGGATATCCCTTATCCCACATTACCCCAAGTACTGAAAATGATAGATGACTGTCTAGACTCGCCCCTACACCTCCCACTGTCCTTCTCTAGGGTGCCAAGTCCCCACTCCCTTATGCCACTTATCATCTGGGGTCTAGTGACCAGTTAGCCAAGGCACACCACAGTAGGTATGTGTGAGGAATTGGAGCTTCTGAAGCCTATGTACACCCAGGTCTGAGAAAGGAAGTTCTGGGCCCAAGAGACTCACTTCCACATGTGTGAACTGAGGTGCCGCTCCAGCATAGAGCTGAGTGCCGAGCAGAACCGGTCCAGCCGGCGGCTAAACACATAGCATCCTGGGCTCACTAGCCGGCTCCCAAAGGTGCAGAACTGGAAGCAGAAGGGAAGAATGTGGTTGGTGGGGCCTGCAGTATACAGAGCATCTGCACATAAGATCTGACCTCTTCCCCATACTGTGGCCTAGAAGGACTGGGACCCCCCCCCACCACCACACACACCCCCCACCCCAGGACCCTGGCCAGGTCCTTACCGCCTGTGGGCGTGGAGGCCGGGTTGCATAATGGCAGTCGGGAGGGAGGTGAAGGTCCTCTGATGTCCCCTCCTCCTCACTTTCCTCGCTGGAGGCCTGGGCCCCACCCCGGGGTAGGGGGAAAGGGAACAGACCTGGGTCCCCATCACCACCATAGGGGCCTTCTTCATCCAATTCACTCTCAGAAGAGGCCCGGGACCTAGAAGGGTCAAAGAGGATGTAAGGATGATGTGACTGGTATGGGATCGGGATGGGGTGTCCCTGAACCCGCCAAGCTTAAAAAGCCAGGGCAAACACTCTGCTGGGCAATCAGAGGAAGAGGAAGGAGGAAAGGATGGGAGGGCACGACAGAGCTCACAGAGTAAGAGACAGAGCCCAGGGCCATAGCTCCCAAGGTGTTCTCTCCCAAGCCCCTTCACTTCCCAGGCCCTGCCTCCTCAGGGGGGAAAATCTGCTCCAGATTCGCCTCCTCCAGAAAATCTTCCGAGCTTAACTGCACCCAGCTCTGGTCAGCCCCGTCAACTCTCTCAACCCCCTTCTTGCATCACATATTCCTGTGAGCCTGTCTGGGAGCTGAGCCTGTGTTTCGTGTCTGCCCCTGGTGTTACAGGCAGAGATGCGTGTGTGTCTCCTTCAGCAAGGCAGGCTCTCCCCGGGATCCAGCGCAGCCTCTGCACACGAAGGGGCCAGCGAATGAATACACAGTACAACTGCCTCACCCAGGACCCTGACCCTTTCAGCTCCCCAGTGACAAGTAGCTGGGAAAATGTTTGTATTGGATCTGGCACACCTCAAGAGAGGCTAGGATATTGTGGTCTGCTTGGGGAGGAATAGGAGAGTCGCCTGCTTCCAAACCACGGCAAGGTCCAGGTATCACACTCCCCTGCCCCACACCCACTCAGGTCCCAGTGAGCACGTTTTCCAGGACATCCCCTGGGCCTGTCTCCAACGTTCCCTGGTACCTTAGGGGCTGAATATACCCAGGTGAAGTGGCGGGGGGGATATAATCTGGACATACCTGGGAAATGCACAGTATGGGTAGGTCTGCTTGGCACGAGCAGAAAAGGTGCTGCTAGGTGCAGCTGCTGCTGCCACAACCTGGATTGAGGAGGGAGGTTCCTGGGAGGGCGCCGCCTCCTTGCGCCCTGGGCTCTTCTCCTTGGGACATTCCCCTTTGCGGGAATTGGCCTTCAGCTCTGCCACTAGCACGTCAAAATCCTTGGACCGGCCCTGGACCTCTCGGCGCTGGTGCACCGAGTGGATCTAGAATACAGCAGAGTGGAAGGGTGGGAAGGGTTGTGAGCTGAGCAGGGGTGAGGGGCAGCGGTGTGCTCTGGCCTGGGCAAGTGGAAAGAGAGGACGTGTGAGTGTGTTTGTGGGTGTGTTTGTGTGTCTTTTGTTTTACTCCCCCATAGGGCTAACACCCTCCTTTGGCATGGGGGTGGGGGGGTCTGAAAGCTACTCCCTGCCTGCTGATCATACCTTGTGCCCACTGGGGTGAGGTGGGGGGGATAGGCTCCTCTTCCCTTCCCTGGTGTGAACCTAACCCATCCCCTCAGCTGGGCCTTTAGTTATTTCTACATTCCTCTGCTCGCCCGCGTCTCATGTCTGCGCTGTTCCCCCTCACCATGCCGTGGGAATGGGGCTACCTTGCAGGTCAGCAGGCGTGTACAGATCTTTTTGGTCTCTGGATTTATGACTCCGCACTGCCTGTTGAGGTCACACTCCTTCCCTGTTGGGTAAAGATGTTTCAGTGAACCAGAAGGCTACTTCTCATGGATTCATAGGAGGATCTGGCCTCTTCCTATGAAGGGCCTGGGAAGAATCAGGACAAAGATAGACAGGTTCCTCTGGGGCCTCACTTTCCAGAGTAACTCTTCTCTTGAGGATGGACTTTCCCTGTCCCCAGCCCCAGCATTCCTCCCAGAGACTGTAGGCCCAAAGAAGCAAAAGCAGCCGCAGGCATCTGGAATGCCAGAAAAACCAGCTGTGAGACGTGAGAAAGGGCTAACAGTCAATTGTCCAAGGAGGGGAAGAGTAATTGTGCTTGCTTGGGCAGAAGCTCCCTCAGCCCAACTCAGGAGACCTGAGCTACAGAAGCTTCCGGGGAGCAGGTAGATTGTAGAGTTCCTGTACTCTGCAAGCTAGGATGGCCAGGCCCATCTATTCCTGACCTCCAACCCTTCTTGCCCAAGGACAGAGCAGCCCAAGGAGTCCCCCACTCTACCTTCCTGACTCCCAGGACCATGACTACTCACGAGCCATCTTCCGGTGGGTTTTGGGGGGCAGCCTGGTCCCACTGGGCTCCTTCTCCGGGGGGCTGCTTTCGGCCCGGTGGCTGGAACCCTCACTGGGGATTATCTCACTGCTCTCTCTGCCAGGAGGTTCTTTAGAAGGGAGAGCCATGGGGGCTTTTCCAGGGGAGTCCTTGGGGAGGCCGCCTGGCTGGCTGAGGAAAGCAGAGGGTGGGGCCACCCTGATTCCATGTCCATCGGGCTTCGGGAGACTGGACATCTTCTCCAGATTCACCACAGGCACGAAAAGGCTACACGTGGAGAGAGGGTATGGGCTGGGGTGTGGGAGGCTGGGTCTGGGTGCTGAACTCTGGCCTAGAGCTATCTCCTCCCTGGCCCTGGATCTTGGGTGGGCTCCAGGAGGGGTGTGGTACCTGGGGAAAGAGGCACTCACGAGCCCTTGAGTCTGTGGAAAGGAGCTGCAGATGGGTTTGCTGCCTTCTGCAGTGTGCAGTCCCCCTTGACCCAGGGCTGCCTCCATTTGTGTCAACCTCTCCCTGGGTCAGGGTCAGGGTCGGTCTTGGGGAGTGTATAGACTTACCAGAGGTTGTCCTTCTGGGTCTTCTCTGGAGGCTGATGGCCACGGCTCCGGGACCCCTGGCCCTTCTCCCTGGAGGAGGTTTTGGCGGAACCTGGGGCTCTACAAGCTGGGCCCTGCCCATTGACTACGTGGCATTTCTGAGAGCTGGCAGGGGCTGGAGGTGGGGGTGGGACCCGGGCATAAAGCTTGCTGAGGGGCCCATGTCTTCTTTCTGTCACCAGGAGGTGGAGAGAATAATCGAGGTGAATGGGATCAACTACCTCATTCCCTGACCGCCAACCAGCCCACTGCCTCATATCACAAGAATCTGCATTACTACAGCTAAGATTGTGAATTTGCTTTCTTCCATTTCCAAATTGAGCCTTCAGGACTCAAAATTCTAGACCCAGCTTCCTGAATCTCTTACCACCCCTGGATGCTGGAAGTTTGTACACGCAATAACTTCAAACCCCACAATATCCTGAAACTCCCCCCCCCCCCCCCCCCCCCCCCCCCCCCCCCCCCCCCCCCCCCCCGCCCAGGACTTTCCTATCCCTAGAACCACCCTCCATTACCCATGTGAAGTCCTAGCTGTCCTAAGAGTTCCATATTCCCCCTCCCCTCACCCTTCATCTTTCTTCCCTAGGGCTTCTCTCACCACAGTGCTTCTGGAAAGCTTGAGGCTTCACCACCTGGCTGCAGTGGTTACACACAACCAAATAGAAGTCATCATGGGCAGGGCAGTGCCCAAATATGGACATATCTGCAATGACAGAAACTCTTTATCACTGGGGCTGGAGCACAGGGTTTCCCTGTAAGATCAGAGAACACTACCACCCCACCACCCAGAAGGTGCTTCACCTCCCAACTGATGTGTCAAGCTTTCTGCTGGACATTCCCAGCCTCCACAGTTCAGTCTAACCAGGCCTGAAGTATACAGGGCTTTGACATGAGTGGGCGCCAATCACCTATGATTACGATCTCCACCAACAGGTCACAGCAGGCAGGGCTAACTCAGTCCTATCAAAATGAGGATCTTCAGCCCTATTGCTTCAACAGCCACCTCCTGGTAGAAGAGGGGAAAGTGGCCCTGTTTGCCCTGGGTCCCAGCCCTATGTGCATTGAGTCCCACCTTCTTTAATGAGGGTCATAGCATCCAACTTCTTCATGTTTTTGCTACTCTCTTCCAGCTCAGCCCCTGGAGGAAAAACACAGCTCAGAAGGTCCACTCTCTTCCTACAGCCCCACCTCTTAGTAGAACAAGGGCCACGGCTCAGCACTAAGAAGCCCACACCCCCTGACAAGCCCCTGGTGCTCAGAATCCCCAGTGGCTCATTCACAAGTGCCCACCCTTCTCCCACTCTTCTGAGACGAACTGGTCTCATTTAAGAAGAATCCAGCCATCTTTCTTATGGACCCCTCCACTCCTTAGTGTAGTTTAGGGCTCTAACTGCTGACTAGTTGGGTGATGTAGGTAAATATCATCCCTTTTCTGGATTAGCTTTCCCATTTAAAGGGAAATGGTTCTGATTTTTTTTTTTTTCCTTTTCTGCAGGACCCTGAATCACTTCTTGAGATTTCTACCACAGGTCTTTTTGGCTATTCTGTAGCATCTCCAAAAGCTGCTGTCCTATGTCCCCCTCTTCATAAATTACTTTAGGTCTACCTGAGATATCATAACATTATCAAAGTTAGACTCAGTTTTCTCAGCTCCTGCACTGACTGGATGGTCACAGAGCAGAGAAACTGCTGGGTTTGGGCCCTTTGACATCTCCAAAGTCTCCTTGGTCAGCTAGGCAACCCCCTCCCCTTCTTAGAGGGGCTCTGCCAAAGGGTTGCTTTCCTACTTCAGTTTCTGGGTGAATGACAAAAACATTTTAGCTATGCAAAGCAGCTTCCTCCATCCTCCTATCTTACTCCCCCTCCCCCCCACCCCAACACACACCTCCTCCCTGTCCCTTGGAAAAAAATCAATTCTGAGTCACTGAACCAGTCTGACTCCATTTCCGGTTCTTAATTCACCCAGACCCTGACAATGGCCCCATGGTGCCCACCCAGCACAGGACAGTCCCAGAGTGGCCTATGCTCCCACTTAGATGTGCTCTCACATGCTCACTCACAGATTAGCCCCCTTTGAGGTGAGATGATTATTGGCAATCTTATATAATATCCAGATATGAGGCATGGTGAGTTGGACAGGCAAGAGACAAGGGGCAGCTCCCACTCTGAAGTCTGTTCAATGCAATTATGGGGAATGATGGACAGAATCAAGCTGAAAGTCAGATGTCTCAAAGAACAAGTGTCATTAGAGACCGCTCCATGAGGTCTCCTACTCCATCTCTTCTCACTTGTAAACTTCTTTAGGGGTGTGATGCCTGCTGTCACCCCCAAAGGCCATGAGGCCAGCTGTTTCCTGGGACCCAGGAGACAAAGATGAGAAAAAGAGACTGGAGGCCCACTCACCAAAGGCACTCGGGGACCTATAGAAAGTGGGGGGTCAGGGAAAAGAGCCAAGAGGTAGGGCAAGAAGCCCGGGGAAGGACGAGGGTGGGAGGCATGGATGGATGGACTGAAGGAGGAAAGGCAAGGAGGAGGATGGAGAGATGGATGGGAAAACTCATGCGGAGGGGGCTAGAGTTCCATGAGCACCGTAACCGGTAGGAAAACGCTAAAAAGGTGCTGGAGGTGGGGGGGGGCAAAAGGCGAAGACACAAGGGGGGTGCTGAGGGGGGCAGAGAAGTGGGGTGCGTGGGAAACACGTGGAGAGGACTGTTGCGGATAGGAAGAGCCCGAGCAGGTGCAGGAGGGGCGGAAACTGGAGACCATCATTTAAGGGAAAAGATAAAGGCAAGTAAACGTGGGGCCGGTACTGGCTCTGGCAGAGAGAGAGAGACAGACAGAGGAGAGGTGGGCAGGGTGGGCTGCAAGCGGTGGGCCGGCGCTAGGACCCGGCGGCGCAAAGGTGTCGGAGAGGGCGGGCACTAGGACCCGGCGGGTCCTTTGTTTGGGGGGCCGGGGAGCCGGACGGCGGCTCCTGTCGGCGGCTCCCCTCAGCTGGTGGGGGCCGGGAGGGGGGGAGGGGAGGCAGTGATGGGGTCCTCGGACTCTAAGGTGGCTGTACTCACCGTCGGCCGCAGGCAGGTCGGCCCGCTCCACCCACGAGCTCCAGCTCTGTCCCGCGAAGTCATCGAGACTCGGCACCCGCCGCTCCAGAGCGGCCATTGCTGCCGCCGCGCGTTCACGCACCGCCATCACCGCCGCGGACGCGCGCCCGCCCCGGCGCCGCCGCCGCGCGCGCCTCCTTCTCCCCTACCTTTCCAGCTCACCCTGTGCGCAAGCGCAGCTCAGGTCGCTGGCCCCCACCTCCTTCTTCCGCATAGCTTTCTGGGAAATGTAGTTTCGGAAGGGGGTGCTGTCGCCTACCGAGCTTCCCGAGAGAGCCCTTCGGAAATGCACAATTGCAGGGGAAAAGGGGGAGACCAAAGCCCCAGGATCTCCACTCCTAACCTTTGTGCACACATTTATTTGTGGCACCAGTTCCCTCTCCCCAGTGTGCACACGCACGCGCGCGCGGGCGCGCGCGCACACACACACACACACACACACACACACCCCAGCCCCAAACCTCTCTCTGCCCAAGATGCCCCTCTTGAAGCCGTGCGTCTGCCAGCTGGCTGGCGCCAGTTCCCCGGCTGGCGGCCAGGGAGCGACTCTGCTCCCCTGTAGATCGAATAGGGTAGGTGCAGGGAGGTGGGCGCAGTGAATCAGAAGGGCAAAGGGAGGGAGTCTAGGCTGTGCTGAAGGACATGGGGGTTGAAGTGGGGGAGGGCCTAGGTTCCTGAGTCCTTCCTTCCTCTATGGGAAACCCACGCTGCCCTAATGCAGAACAGAGGGCTCAAGTGCCGTTGTCTGGGTTTGGGAGGATCTGGCTGCGCTGACCAGGATCACCTGTCAGGATGACAGAAGGCTCTCGGCTTCAGAGTCAGCGCCGGAACTAGGGTGGCCCCGAGGCTGCTGGTGTTTGCTCGGGTCTGCTGATCCTCCTGAGAAGTGCGATCGATACCCTGCACTGTCTCTTCCCAAACCCTGGCTAGACCCTGACTCCATCCATCATTTTGGCTTCCTTTTCTAATGAGTATTTTTCGCCGCTGGAAGAGCTGGTACTAAAGACTTGCTATAGGAAGATTTCTCATCAGATCTGTCATTTTCCTTGCTAAGGCCCAGAATGTACCACCTTAATCACCTACCTCTTTTTTTTTATTCAGCTGATAACATTTCTTCCTACCCCCCCAAAAAAGACTAAAGTCTGTCTCTGCCTCTTCATCATTTGATCAGACAAGAAATAGTAATCCTTTTTATTTCCCCTCCTCAACTCCTCACAATCTTACCCCATATCGCATTTATTTAGCTGAAAGGAAACCAAATTTGAGAGCAAAAGTCAAATTTTATGACATTAAGATCTCAGACTTCTTCTTTTCATTCAGGGAAATTTTAAATACTTTGAAGATAATATCTGAGAGAAGAGATTCTTAACCTAAGACCCATAAATGAGGTCCAGGAACCTGGTAACATTGACTGTGAAACTATGCCCAAGTGCATTTTTCTAGAGAATATAAATGCAGAATGTGACTGCCTGTCTGAAGGTTTGTTCAGCAAGAACCTTATAGTAAGCCTGTATGTGTGTGTGTGTGTGTGTGTGTGTGTGTGTGTGCGCGCGCATGCGTGTGCGTGCATGCAGGGGGGTTCACACCTCTAATCCTAGCTACTCAGGAGATTGACATCTGAGGATCGGAAGTTCAAAGACAACCTGGACATTAATTATCTCCAATTAACCATCAGAAAGCCAGAAATGGAGCTGTAGCTCAAGTGGTAGAGTAATAGCCAGGAGTGAAAAAGCTAAGGGATAGCTTCCAGGCCCTGAGTTCAAATCCCTATACCAGCACGCGCACGCGCGCGTGCACACACACACACACAATCTGTATATGCTAGAGAATGAAGCATATGGCCCTCAGATTCCTGATAGGAAGCTTGTTTGGGTCACAGATGGTAGGAAAGCAAATGGAAACTGCATTGTGGGAGTCACTATTTCTCCCCCTTTGAGTTTGCTCCAAATTTGCTAATGAGTTTCAGTTACTTTGGACAAATGGAGTGCCACAAAAAGAGACAATGTCACCAGACTGGGGCCTGCCAGGAACAACTACTCAGCCAGCAGACTCTATTGCTTAGGCTGCAGAGTAAAGAGGAGTAGAATGAGGTCTTAGTAGAAATGCTGATTTTTATCCAAGGTCTTAAAGCAAGGAAGAGGAAGAAAAAAAAATCCCCAGGAGGGCTCCAGTCTTGGCTCCTTCATGGCAAATGCTTGAAGCACTGTTTATTCAAATGTATAATGAAGCACCAGAAAACAACATGCAACATTCTCCCCCCACCCTGATCTGCAATCCCAGAAGTAGGAGACCCATGACCATGATTTTGGTGGGCTCATATCTAGGAAAGATCCTAGATGGGCAGGGTCAGAATCTACCAGGGCAAAGGGCAAGTGCCCTGTCTATTGGCCTCCTACAGCAGCTGGAGAAACCAGATACCTCCTACATTGGGTTCAACTAGGCAAAGCAGTGATGTCAGCCCTGGTTGGAAGGAGACTCCAGTTCTGTAAGGACAGCCTTTCCCTTGGCACTTGGCCTAGCTCAGCCCTCTGGAGGCAGTGAGGTGAAATGGCCTTAGGATGGCCATGGTGAGACTGACCATAGCCCAAATCAAGGATCTACAATCTGAAAACCAGCCAGCCTCTTGAGCACAAGAAAGAGCCTTCCTGCCTAGGGAAAAGCTCTGAGCTAGGACTTCTTGGCAGCAATGAATAACACCCCCCCTTTCCTAGTGGAAAGGCCAGTTTCTAAGTTCAGTCCCCAAATGAGACTGCTTTATCTATTACATATCTGTTAAATTATAAATACAAACACAGAATCCAAACAAAGTTCCAGTAGAAGCTGCTCACAGTCCCCCCACAAGGGCCAGCTTGAAGAAAAATGAAGGTCACCCCTTTGTTCTTTGTGTCTCTGGAGCTGTAGGCAAAATTGTCTACCTTCCCCCCTTTCCTTGAGTAACCATGGGACAACTCAGGACAGAGAGTTTCAGGCTTAGGAAGATTTTCACCTTCATCTCATTTCGTCCCTCCTCAAATCCCTTCCCAAAAATCTAAAAAAGGAAATAAAACCAATAATGAAAAGAATAACCTAATTCGTTTACTGAAGGACCCCCAGAACATCTAGAGTTATAAACCTCACACATCACCTGTCATGTGGGGGGAGTTCTGACCCAAAAAAGAAATGAGTGGCCCTCAATCAGAGGTCTTAAGCCTTAAGTGCCCAAGTAATGCACATGTTACTATGAATGGCACAGGAGGGAGGGGAAGAGGTGGAAAGGATTGACTAAATCCTGAGGAGAAACTGGTACAGGACACATTCACCTTTGGGATAGATAGAAAAATGGATAGATTTCTTCCCTCTTCATGCTTCCCTGAGCAGCCCTATGGCAGGGAAGAGGCCAGGTAGGAGGCAGGTGGCCCTTACCCAGTTGGCATTCTCAGGCCCTGGGGCCCAGAGAGGAACTGAAGGAGGTGTCAGACAAAGACAAATATGGAACTGGGTCCCGAAGTGAAGAAGCACCAATAGCATCGGCCTGCCCTGGACTGCGGAGGATATGGAGCCTGGCAAAAATAGGAAGCAAGGAGAGGATGGGAAGGCCAAGGAGAGGGCATTGTAAAGGTGAGAAGGGAAAGGACAAAAGAAGGACCAGAGAAGGTACTGGGAGGGGGGGGGAAGGAGAGAGTAAGGGAGAAATGGGCCCATCCATCCATGTCCCAGGGCTCTGGGACAAATCAGCCTCATGATGGTCTTTTGGACCCTGTCAAAGCCCTTCACTGGCCCCACGGGAATGAAAAGAAGGCCTGGGCAGTCTTCAAAGCCTCAGACCCCAGAGGCTGGGGTAGGGAGATGAGCTGAGAGGTAAGGTGAGGAGATCTTGAGATGCTATTCTAGGCCTCTCATCTTGTATCTTAAGTGTGAGATGAGACCAAACTCAAAAAGGGCATGGAAGAAGGTAAGAAGTTTCTAGATTTTAGAGTGTCTGGTGGATGGAAGGATGAAGGGAGATAGACAAAGGATTCTGCCAGTAACTTTCCTTGGTTTCTTCCTTGAAGTTGCAACTCAGTTGCAGTTTAACTGCTCCCACTGAGGTCAGGCCTCATAAGGACCCTCCTTAGGCCCTTTTCTAGGCTGACAGACCTCCTAGTTCCCAAGTGACAAGTGCTGTAGAAAAGCAAGGGGCCAGAGAAGAGAATGGGAAACACACTATGCTCTGGGCAGGCTAGAGATCAGACACAGAGACTAGATGACAGCCATTAAGGGCTGTCACCAAGTCACGGTTGGGCCCTCCATGCAGGGATAGGAGCGAGACTGCCAGCTTGCTCCTTAATCCCTACAACATTGAGGCTAAACAGTTGACAGAAAGGTGGTTACTAGGGACCAGTCTCAGAGCTCTGGTGTCTTGCCCCTAGTCCTGGCTTGCAACCTAGGCTAGTTCCCAGAGGCTAGAAAGATACAGGTAAGACTCCAATAACATGTCTGGTTTTGGCTTTAGACAAGAAGCACTGAACTCTTGTCTTCAGGGGTTCTAGCAGGAAGAGGACAGGAAGCCAGTGGTAGGGGCGCCCAGGTTTCTGACAGCAGATGGCTGTCCATTCGTCATCTCAAAGATCAAAGCCCAGAATGATGGGGAAAGGGAGTTGGAAGAGAAGAGGGAGGTCCTGGAAGCCGGAGGTGGTGAAGAGGTGCTGTCCATTCCGGGAATAGCCAGGTGGGGGCTGATTACTGCTTCTCCACTGCTCCCTGCTCAGCTGTGCTCTCCTGGCTGGTGCCCTGGCCCTGGTCCTGGCCCTGTCCATGCCATGGGGTCTCCTTGAACACAAACCAACAGTTCCCAGCCCACAGGAAGAAGTTGATAAAGCCGAAGAGCTGTAAAGGACATCAGAGGAGTTTGTTAGAATAGTTAAAAGAAGGACCATATGAGAATAGGTAGTGGGGAGAGGCACAGAAAGAAAGACAATGAAGGGGGGGAGGGTCATGACAGAGAGTCAGAGACAGAGACAGAGAGACAGATAGAGACAGAGGTGGAGACAGAGACAGAGAATTGGATATAGAAGCAGAGTTCCAGGCTACCACTCATTAAGGGATTCCTTGGCAAGAATGTCTGTGTCCACAGCATGTACCCAAGATGGAGCTTGTCACTAGCTAAATCTGGTTCCTAGAGTAATTATTATGCAAACCAGAGTGTGGAGCTAAGAGTCTTAGGGCCCAGCACTTGTATGACTTGCTAGGATCACCTTCTGTGGGGTGGGTGTGGCTGGAGCTGTCCAAGGTACTCCTCCAATACCAGGGACTCAGTCAGGTCTTCATTGGTTGGTTTTTCTTCTTGTTGTTGTCACTTTTGAGTCAAGGTCTCATTATAAAGCCCAGGCTAGCTTAAAACTTGCTATCCCCCTTCTTCAGCCTCCTGATAGCTAAGATTACAAGTGTGCGCCTAGTTCCATTCAAATATTTATTTAAAATGTTTTAAGCCGAGCACTGGTGACTCATGCCTGTAATCCTAGCTACTCAGGAGGCTGAGACGTGAAGATCAAGGTTCAAAGCTAGCCTGAGCAGATAAATCTGAGAAACTCTTACCTATAATTAGTCAGCCTGCCCCAAAAGGACAGAAAGAAAGGAAAGGAAGAAAGGAAGGAAGAAAGAAGATAAAAGAAAAAGGAAAGGAAAAGGAAAACAAAAAAAATTTCTAACAACAATTAAACAAAACCAGAAATAGAAGTGTGTCTGAAATGGTGAGCTGGCTCAAGAATGTCAGCATTAGCCAAGAGCTGGTGGCTTATGACTGTCATCCTAGCTATTCAGGAGGCTGAGATCCGAGGATCACAGTTCAAAGCCAGCCACAGCAGGAAAATCTGTGAGACTCTTTCTCCAATTAACCACCAGAAAATCAGAAGTAGCACTGTGGCTCAAAGTGGTCCAGCCCTCGGCTTGAGCAAAAGAACTCAGAGACAGTGCTCAGGCCTTGAGTTCAAGCCCCATGACTGAGGGAAAAAAGTCAGCTCTGAACATACAGCTAAGGGTAAGTGTGAGCTGTGAGTTCAAGGCCTATTACTTGCACAAAAATTAATTAATTAAAAATCAAACAGGTTTTAAACCATTAGGTTTTAACTACTTAGGTTTTAAAATCTGAGTAGTTAGATGGAAGAGTGCTGATGTTGCCATGAATGTTGAAATGCATTTAAAAATGGATTGGTTAACCAGGCACGGTAGTGCACATCTATAATTTCAGCACTTGGGAGGCTGTGACAGGAGGACTGTGAGTTCTAGGTTAGCCTGGGCTATGTATTGAGATCCTGTCTGAAAAGAAAAATGAAGAAGAAAATGAAAAATGAAAAATAATAGATGAGGAGAGGTAGATAAATGAATAGATATATAATAAGGCACATGCAATGAAATGTTAAAATTCTTCCTACTTTGCAGTTTGTGTGAAAAAAAAATCATGAATATGGAAGGAGCCAGGCCCTGGTGGCTCATGCCTGTAATCCTAGCTACTCAGGAAACTGAGATCTGAGGATTCTGGTCCAAAGCCAGGCAGGACAGAAAGTCTATGAAACTTTCATCTCCAATTAATCAGCAAAAAAAAAAAAAAAAAGCAGAAAGTGGAGCTGTGGCTCAAGTGGCAGAGTTCCAGCCTTCAGCAAAAAAAAAGCTAAGGGATGGCATCCAGACCCTTAGTTCCAACCCTAGTACTGGAACAACAGCAACAACAAAATGTGGTGAGAAACCTATGATCAGGATTCTAGTAAGTTCCAGAAGATGTACCAGCCTTTAAATTTAGTTGTATCTACTTTTGGGTGATCCAAGACATTTTCAGAGTGCATCTGAGATGGCTGAAATGACAGGGCAGACTTAAGAAGCTCAAAGCCTCAGGTATTCGCCAGGTGATATGTCCATATTTCAACATCCTAACAATGGGGATGGCTGGATACATGCCTACCAGTGGGACCAACCTCTGTCCCAAAGCCTCTTTCCAGTGTGGGAGGCTAAGTGACAAGGAGTCCCTCCTCATTCACTCTGGGTTTGACTCCCAGCTCAGCCCAGCCATAGCCCCAAACTCCTCTTCCACATGGTCACTTGTGCCCTGACACAAGGTCAACAGGAAGAAAAGGTAGGAGTCAGCTGCCAGGCCAAGGTTTCAGAGTGGGGGGGCGGGGAGGACATGGGGCTTGCTCCCTCATCTCAACATGTCTTCTCAGGCCAGCCGTAGGTAACAGGGAGTGCTAGCTCTAGTTCAGGGGACACCCTCTCTGTACCTCCTGGGATTAGGTATCTAGGAATGGTCTGGATATCTGAGAGAGTATGTTTCCCCCCAGACCTCTCCAGTGATCACAAATCTCACCACAGAGATGTTGGCCAGCCCCATAGAGGGTGTGGCTCCGGCACTGCACACTGCTTCCTCTCCATGACACACAGACATGGCTGCAGTTAGGCTGGATGGCCGTGTGGCCCCTTTGACATCAGTCAGGCCTTTGCCCCAGGCAGCTGCAGCTACTAGCCAGAAGAAGGTGAAGGAGACAGTCACACAGAAGTCCTGGGAGGAGCAGAGGGACAGGAAATACATTCAGAAGAGCCCCAGAATTCCAATTCATTTCCCTCTTGCTCTGATACATTAGAATCCTGGAGTCCCGAGATAGCTGTTTTTTCCCATCCTATCTGACACCTGAAGCCTCAGAGTGCCCGGATGCTTTTGATCACTGCTCACTGCCACCAAGGAAATGCTACCTCTTATCTCTCCTCGCCCAACTAAGGTCAGGCATCAAGACCTAGGAGACCTAGGAGACCAATGAGTGGCTCATGGCTGTAATCTCAGGAGGCTGAGATCTGAGGATTGAGGTTCAAAGCCAGTCTGTGCAAAAAGTCTGTGAGACTCTTATCTCCATTTAACTACCAAAAAGCCAGAAGTGGAGCTGTGTGGCTCTAGTAGTAGAGTAGCCTTGAGCACAAAAGCTCAGGCCTTGAATTCAAGCCCCAGGAACCCCCCCCCCAACACACACAAAACAAACAAAAACCCTAGGAGATCTAAACACCAGCTTCCTCTCTGTGGTTGCTCAACTATCAGTAGAGGCAAAAGCCGACTCAAGATAGTCAAGTTCTTAAAGCAAAGCTTCCACCTTGCATGCCTGGGAAAGGTAAATGAAATAATACTAATAATGGCTAACTGTCATTGGGGCTGACAATATACCAGGTTCTTCGAATATATATTCATTTTATCTACCACTGCACACAGTGAGGCAGATATTAATCCATCCCCATTTTATAGCTAAGGAAACTGAGGGGTTGAGTGGAGAGGATGAGGAACTTTGTCTGATTGAGAAGCTTGTCTGCTTCTGCTATTTGTGGCTCCTGGGGGAGTTGTGGGAGGTGGTGGGAGGTTGGGGGTGGCAGCAATTCCACATACAGGTGTTAGGGACTCACGAAAGCCACTATGTTCGTTCTCCCCACCAGCTCTGACCTCAGCCTCCTAACAAATGTACCCTTTATTCCTTGGCCCTACTCCTCTGGTCTGTGTTTACTTACCACCAGTGGGAAGCGCTTGTTCTCTGTATAGAGCTTGTGAAATCGCAGGTAGAGGACCAGAGCAGCCATCGTATAGAAGAAAGAAAAGATGCCAAGAGTCACAAAGAATTCGGCAGGGGCAGAGAAGTCCCCCATGAGGTGCATGGTCTTGGATGTGGAGTCATCATCGCAGAGAGGCATCTCATACTGGACCCGATGCAACCTGCAGGTGGCAAAGGAGGCCATCCTGAGCAAGGGCAAGTCTCTCTCTCCCCACCCCAGGGGTGGTCCCGTGCTAGTGGTCCTTGACATAAAGCCAAGAAAGGGATTGTGTAAGGAGAGAAGCAGCACTTCTGCAGAGAACCTGGCAGTCAAGAGGAGAACTTCCCCAAAATTCCATTCCTACCTCTCTCCCAGCCACCACCCCACACCCACCATTCACCTGCCTAGGCATGGTCTTCATGGAAGTCAAATCTCCAGAGCCCTTATTTCTGGTAGCCAAACCATTAAACAAATCAACTGATTCTGCCCCTGGCAAAGTACAGGTCCCAGTTAAGCAGTAGCCAAATTAAGGTTGATTCATCCATTCTCAAGACTTGGGCTTTATGTAGGCCTTTCAATGAAGAGAAAAGCATAGCCTGTTTTATATATGTGTATATATATATATATGTATATATATATATGTATGTATGTTTGTTGCGCGTATATGTATATACACACATATGTATATATGTGTATATACATATATATATATATATATACACACACACACAAGAGGCATCTAATTTTATTTGGGAGTTGCTACTAGATATTTCTGAAGAAGCTGATACCAAACATTTCTGAAAAGATAAACTATGTCTCTCTCCCCTCCCTTTCCCTTCCTTCTCCCTCCTTCCTCCCCCCCCTGCTTGCCCCCCAGCAGTACTGGGGCTTCAACTCAGGGCTTCAAGCTGTCCCTTAGCTTTTTCACTCAAGGCTGGCGCTCTACCACTTGATCCATACTTCCATTTCTGGCTTTCTGCTGGTTAAGTGGAGATTAAAAAAAAAATCTCTTGGGGCTGGGAAGGTGGCTCAGTGGTAGAGCGCTTGCCTTGCATGCCTGAGGCCCTGGGTTAGATTCCTCAGCACCACATAAGTAAAAAGAAAAAAAAATCAGAAGTGACACTGTGGCTCAAGTGGTAGAGCACTAGCCTTGAGCTGAATAGTTGAGGGACAGCGCCCAGGCCCAGAGTTCAGGCCCCACGACCGGACCCAAAAACAAAATAAAAAAAAAAAACTCTTATATTTGTCTGCCTGGGCTGACTTTGAGCCTTGATCCTCAGATCTCAGCCTCCTGAATAGCTAGGATTATAGGCATGAGGCACCAGCACCTAGCTTCTAGCTTCTCCATTCTCTTCTGAATACTCCCCCTTCCCCCCATGCCAAGCTCTCAAATGCCTTTCTTCTATTTCCTGGTCCAGGTATATCTCTTTGTATTCTGGTGGCACCAGGTGGACATTTTACATCAAGTTTGTTAAGAATATAAGAACTGCAAGCTTCCTTACTTCAAAGCAGAGGGGAGACTGTTGAGGGTCAGAGAGAGCTTCCCAACATGCCCAGACTTCTATCAGCCTCCATCCCAATGCCTGGATTCTGTTTGTCTGGACTGTTATGACCTTGATAGGTTGACCTTAGGGTAAAACATCATAACAGTGATCTTTCTGTGTTTTCCCTTATATTTTCTCTGATTATTATGTCTGAAGGGCAGAAAGAACCCAAGTTTGATTATCCTATTTGAATCTTTAGATTTCAGGAAGTAGAAGAGACCAAGCAGGTCCTGCTAATCTAGTGAGAGATGTGGTGCCAGGCATGAACCAATCCCTGCTCACCTGAAGGGATAGCCGAACAAAACAATGATGGAGCTCACATCCTTGGCTTCGTTGTTGCAGCGAACTGTTGCTCCTGTCTCCCCGCTGTAGGAGCCGCAGGACCCGAAGGCGAAAATAGCAAAGAGCTGAGAGAAAGTGAAGCCCCTTTGAGAGTTAGAAGACCTCACCTGGCCAAGGTAAAGAACCAGTCCCTGACTCCAGCAGGTACTGAGGACTGAACGAAGCAAGGAGTGAAGATTCCCTTTAATCATGCCCCTCCTGGGCAGGGAGCCATGGTTGCCATTCATCTCTCAGCTCAGGGGGTTGTGTTTACTGTCCAAGATGTTGGAACAAATAACCAAATGAAGAGGAGAGAACATATAGGTGATTTTCCCATTGGCATGACATTGAGTACCATTGGTAGCCTAACAAATACAAAACCTCTGTAATTTGGACTTTGGAAAGGGTCGTTCTCAAAGCTAGACTTAATTTTTCCTCTCTAAGAGAAAAGCACCATCAGAATAAGATTTCTCTTCACAAACCCAGATCAGGAATGCCCACAATGCCTTTTATCTCTCTTTTGAACTAGTCCTAGAACCGTGTGTGTGTGTGTGTGTGTGTGTGTGTGTGTGTGTGTGTGTGTGTGTGTGTGTACTGGAGCTTGAACTCAGAGTCTAAGTTCTGTTCCTTGTTTTTTTTCACTCAAGGCTGGGGCTCCAATACTTGAGCAATAGCTCTACTTCCAGATTTTTGCTGGTTAAGTGGAGATAGGCATCTTATGGACTTTACTGCTCAGGCTGCCTTTGAAGCTCAATCCTTAGATCTCAGCCTCTTGCATAGCTATGATTACAGGTGGGAGCCACCAGCACTTGGGCCAGTCTTGGAATCTTGTCCTCACCCTGTTCCTGACTTTGAATGGTTTTCTGCCTCATTAGAGATACAGTATGGTTGGAGGGAATCTTCCTCCGAGCTTTCCCATGGTATGGTCAGCCTATCTTCCCAGAAAGCACATTTTCTTCCAGCAACAGTGTTGGCTGGGCCAGTGCTGACAGTCCTGGCTCAAGCCCAGGAAAATGTACCCTCCACTTGCTTTATCAGCCTCTACTATTTCCCCACTGATATTCCTCTTTGTAATCTACTTGTGCTGCCATTTCTCATTGTGAGGAAGTTAGGAGGTGTTTCAGACCACTTGAATCGTTTTCTTCTGTGACTTTCATCGCGTTTGACTGCAGCTTCAGCCTTAAGTTTCATCTCTCCTGTGATTCTCAGATAGCTTCATGGGCAATGTACTTTGGTAGAGAAGGAGGAGAAAAAATGGAATCTTATTCTTTTACATGTGTGTGCTCAGTCCCAGTTTCTTGTGTACTTCCCTTTGGCCTGTATCAAGTATAGAGCTTATTCTGTTTTCTGTAAGCTTGTTTGTTTTCTGTATGTTTATTTGTGACTCACTAGAAGACAACTAATCTATACTGAAATCTTGTATTCAGAAGCTAGAATGGAGTTGTGCATTATTTTGATCATGCTTGTTCGTGTTTTGAAGTGAAGAGATCTGAATGAAGAGTCTAGAAATCTGGCTTCTAGTCCTGGCCCTATCACCAGTTAGTCAAAAGACAGTACTCTCTGAGTTTTCGCTTCCATGTATGTAAAATGAGGGGCATGGAGATCATCTAATGGCTTTTTCCAGCTCTGGAATTCTCTCACCCTCTGAAGTTAACACTATCAGCCTGCTCTTGGCTGGACTTGTCAACAGCTGTGCTCTGCCCCTGGGTGGTATCCGGTGCCAATGCTCTGCCTTGTGTGGCCTGGCCTGGCTCTCTGGTAGCGTCATTGACTTCTCTCTAAAGGTCATAATGTACACCTCTGTTTTCAGGAAGTTTGTTCCAGACAAACGAGAATTGTCTCCCTTAGTAAAGTCACCAATGGAAGAATGCTTTAGTAGACAGCCTCCATCACTGAATTAAACCATGTGGGCTGCAGTAGAGTCCTTTATTCTCACCTTCCTGACAGAGCCTGAGAAAAGTACTGGAAGCCTCTACATCCTTACCCTTCCTATACTCAAAGCTGACTTCTAGGCACAACAATGGAACTGGTTTTTCTTTAGAGAAATTTTCTTATCCTTTGTTGTCTCTGTGGGTCTCTGATTTCCCCTAGGGGTTTCTTTTTCCTCTTTGTTTCTGATGCTCAGAACTGGACACAACGGTGGGTGGGTGGGGGGCATCACATTGCAGAAAGGATGGAACAGTGGGATGATGTATTTTTACTCATTGGCAGTTAGTGAGTGGATCCTTACAATTTCCTAGGAGGATATGAAGGAATTCCTCATTTAGAGCAGTGAATGGTTAGTTATGAAGCTGTCTCTTCGCCAGCCTTCACTTACAGACACCGTTGAACATTTTCGTAAACATGACTTTCCCTCCTTCCTTCTTTCCTTCCTTCTTCTTTCCCTTCCTTCCTTCCTTGCTTCAAACACCAGTCCTCAGATCTCAGCCTTAGAAGCTAGGATTACAGGTGTGAGCCACTGATGCTCAGCTAAGATGACATTTCTTGTACTGTATATCAGACACTGTTTTAGGCACTACTTCTTAGCAGTGAAGAAATCTGTCCTCGTGGAGCTCATGCTCTTGGGCTTTACTGTTGAAAACAGTAGCCAATTGTGACTATTTAAATTAATGAAAGTAAAGTGAAACTTAAAATTCAGCTACTTGGCCATACTAGCCACATCTCAAGTATTCAATAGGAGGTACCAGGTCTCATTCATCTTCATATCTCTAGCCACCCAGGTACAAGATATATGCCCAATAAATAAGTATTAAATGGCTAGGATGTACTCTATTCATCAGCACAGATGATAGGACTTTTCCATCATGAATGAGATTTCTGCTTTTTCTAAATGCTGACTTTGAGATTCTAAGAATTCTGAACATTGTTCTTTGATTTTTCAGTGGCAAAATAAATCCATCGTAACTTTATTGTTAACTCTAGGCTATTCTGATTCTTTGGAAGGTAGGAATCTCTAATCCATGATGATTTTTTTCTACTTACAAAATCTATGTTTGTCTATTTTTCTTATTATGCTGGAGATTGAACCTGAGCTCTTAAGCATGCTAAGGAAATGCTCTCCCATTGAACAATGTCCCTACCCTCAAACACCCATTTAAATCCAATCACCAGTCAGATGGTACCAGATAGCAGAAAGTTAGATACATAAGTTGATAATGAGAAAGACAGAAAAAAACTCACAGATTCACAGAACAGCAAAACTAAAAGGATCTCAGAGATTATCAGGCCCAATGGTCTCATTTCAAAGAGGTGGAAACAGAAGTCCTAAAAGATTGACTTTCTCAAAGTCACATTTAGCTAATGTAAGAGCCAAGTCTTCAAATTACCACCTCCTGATTCTCTGTCCAGGGAGCTTTCTGCTTCATTCATTCATTCAACACTGAATGAGCATGCCCCTTGTACAGTACCCAGATGTAGAGATAGGAAGATGAGTGAGACCTGGTTCCTGTTGTCAAGGATCATATCAAAAACGAAGTGTCATCAGTGGCTCAAACCTGTAATCCTAGCTACCCAGGAAACTAAGATCTGGAGGGTTGTAGTTTGAGGCTATCCTAGACAGAATTTTTTGCTAGACTATATCATCCAAAAGCAGAGCTGGAGGTGTGGTTCAAGTGGTAGTTTGTTAGCCTAGCAAGTACAAGTCCTTGAGTTCAAAGCTCAGTAACTGTGGGAAAAAAAGAAGTTTTATGATAAAAATAACAAGCAAAAAGGAACTTAAAAAACACCTCTTTAATAACCACAAGTTATTAGGACTAAAGGAGAGATCTATACGGTGCTCAGTGAGGACTACAATGAAGGGAGTTGGATCTGTGCCCTGGGCTGCAAGTGCCAAGAGACACACTCAGACTCAGGTCGTCCATAGCTCCCAACCCTTCACTCTTTCTACCCCACATTTCTTTCCTTCTCTAGTATGAATAGGCAGAGGAGAAAACCACCCCTATCACTATGGCCAAGGCTCTGAGACAAACACACTGGTCATAAACAACAGTCAAAAATGGAGACCCAGAAATTACCCCAGAAATTCAGGTGTCAATTTTCTTTCCATGCCTTGCTGAAAACAGTGATAACCCCACTCTATTCTCTACCTCCATCTTTTCCCCCCTCTGTACTGCTTTACCAAGGTGTCAGAAAGATGTCAGGTGAAGGATGCAGCTCCATTTTGGTGCTGACTTGCTGACTGGTGATAATACTGTCAATCTAGAGAATTCCACCAAGGTCAGTTAATACAGGGCACAGGAAGATAAGTTTGTTTCTGAGATCCTCTCCATACCATTTTCTCAGGGTTTATTTTATATTATTGCTTTTGCCCAGTCCTGGGGCTTGAGATCTGGGCCTGGACACTGTCCTTGAGCTTTTGTGCTCAATTCTAGTGCTCTACCACTTGAGCCACAGCTCCACTTCCAAGTTTTTGTAATTAATTGGAGATAGGAGTCTCATGGACTTTTTGGTGCTGGCTCTGGTAAACTTAAGGTCTGGGCACTGTCCCTTAGCTTTTTTTTTTTTTTTATCAAGGCTAGTGCTTTATCACTTGAGCCCACCTTCACTTCCAGATTTTTGGGAGTTAATTGGAAATAAGAGTCTCACAGATTTTTCTACCCAAGCTGGCTTTGAACCTTAGATCCTCAGATCCTCAGATCTCAGCCTCCTGAGTAGCTAGGATTACAGGTGTGAAGCACTGACATTTGATCATCTTACCAATTTTTAAGACTATGATGTTGGCCTTTCAAATTCATCATACTGAAATAACTCCTTTTCATTACATAGAACATGGAGTCAAATCAATTACTTTAGAATCCCAGAGATGAAAGAATCATCAGGAAGGCTCTATTAGGTAAAGGTAATATGATTTACTTATAAGGAAATGGGATTAGTGACTGAGTCACTCAGAGATTATTTGTCCCTTACCATCAAATTGAAAATTTGGACTGGTACTTGAATAATCTCACTAAAGGTCAAATCTAGCTGGATAGTCTGTATAAGGGAGAAAGTTAGGGCAAAGCGGAAGTTTGGAGATAGAAGGAAAAGGAACCAACACAGTAGTCCTGGGAAATGTTCTATGCATTACAGATGTGACCTAGAGTCCATCCTGTAAGTCCATAGGCAGTTCTTAATTCTCAGGTCCAAGTAAGGAACTGAGGTTCATAAACATTTCCATCACTTACCCACGATCCTAGGGCTCAAACTCAGAGGAGACTGAATTTAAACCCAAACCCATCTGACCCCAAAGTCTGCTCTCTTAAGTTATAAAAGAAAAAACTTCTCTGCATACATCTGTAGTCCCAATATTTTGGAGGCTAAGGCAGTTGAATTGTGAGTTTAAGTCCCAAGTTCCAGGCTATTCTTGATCTTATCTAAAATGTCCAACCAAACAAGCCCCCTAGTTCTCCAATAATTAGTTTATATACCTGAGATAGATTCCAGAACCAGGTAATACTAGTTGTTTTCTTTTAAAAGAAAAGCCTTACTATATGGCTTTGAACTTGTGTTATAGCTCCCCAAATGCTGTGATTGTAGGCCTGGGCCACCAAGACCAGCTTAATTTGTCTTTTTAAAAAACTATTATTTTGGGCTGTCAATGTGACTTAGTGGCAGAGTGCTTGTCTAGCATGCATGAAGCCTTGGATTAGATTCCTCAGTACCACATACACAGAAAAAGCTGGAAGTGGCACTGTAGTTCAAGTGGTAGAGCACTAGCCTTGAGCACAAAGAAGCTCAGGGATAGTGCCCGGACCCTGAGTTCAAGCCCCAGGACTGGCAAAATAAAAATAATAACAATAATAATAAATAAAAATTATTATTTTTAGAGCACTAGAGTTTAAACTTAGTGTCTCACACTTGTTAGGTAGGGATGATCACTTGAGCCATGCCTCTGGCTCTTTTGCTCTAGTTATTTTTCAGGTAGGGTGTCAAGTTTTTCCCCAGGACAGCCTAGGCCATGATCCTCCTATTTATGACTGGAATAATAGTTATGCAGTGCTCTTCCTATTTTATTGGTAAAGATGAGATCTCACTAACTTTTTGTTCAGGTTGGCTTTGAACATCAGTCTTCTCAAACTCCTCCTCCCAAGTAGCTGGGATTACAAGTATGTGTCAGCATGCCTGGCCTTCATTTCTGACTCTTAAAGATACACTAAGCTAAACTCCTCCTGATCAAAAGAATTACATCACTTTCTTCTTGCAAGGATTCCTGTAAGACCTTAGCCTTTTGGTAATAATGGCAAACCAAGTTTTCAATGACCATTCCATAACTACAAGATTGTGATTTTTGTTTTTCTTCTTCTAATCAGAAACATCTGATCTCTCCATGAAGACAAACAACAAATTAAGAGAGATTTTCACTGACATTTCTGGTGCTAGGTTCTACAATTTTGTTTTATATTTTGTGATCTTAGGGTCCAGATGTAGTCCCTTGACTTTTTAGTTTAATGCTAGTGTCCTACTACTTGAGCCACAGCTCCATTTCTGACTTTTTGGTGATTAATTGGAGGCAAGAGTCTCTTCAATTCTCAGCTTCCTGAGTAGCTAGGATTACAGGCATAAGCCACTGAAGCCTGGCTTCCTTTGTACTGTTATAGTAGCCCATTTGCAAAAATTAAAAGCAAATGAAACTTATGTCTTCAATTCAGTCTATCTGGAATGGCATTAAAACCAAGTAATGTCTCCTTATGATGCTACCCTGTCAGTGAAGGCTAGTTCAATATCTAAAGCCAGAGAAATAGGTCTCTGTTTTGTGAAAGTGTTTGCTGTGAAGCTAAAGATCATAAAAATCAAGTAGGTCTTTATTCTTAGGGCCTCTCCTAGTCCTGGGAGGAGATTGGACTATTTCCCTAGGACATGCTCAGTGCAGCTTTTGCAGAAATGTTGTGTGTACTGAGTGGGTGGATAAGAGGATTGATGAAGGAAGCTTTTAGGAATTCCCCAGAAAAGATTGCTTTCTTCATCTTTGCCAGTCTTCCTCAAGTTTCTGTTAGATCAATTTGTTGATTTTAAAGATAAAATTAAACCCTTACACTTCTGCCTCATAATTGCTCTCCTACTTCTGAATACCAGTCACTCAGAGCCTTCTTGTCATTTTGATACGGTCTCCTCTGGCACTCATGTGGTGGGAAAGAGCAGGGAAGTGGTAGGAGGTGAAAAGGCTTAGTCAGCAATTAGTGCCACTATTCTAGAGACAGCAGGGAAAGAGGAAAGTCCCCATCAGGCTACAAAGTTTACTTGAGAGCTAACTAGACTGGTGTATATCCTCAATCAGGATATCACATATTGATAGATAATACCAAATGCACCATTGGTCCTGAATTTCAGGTTTGATGATTCTCATCCAAACCATGATTTAGGATTTGGTGAAACAATGGTCTTAATTTTGAATTCAATCCTCCTAAGTATTAATTTAATTTATTCCATTGTCACATTCTGTGCTAAGAGCACATTAAGTTATTTACCTACTATTTGGTATGTAGATTGTCTAATTAAAATTTTCTTCTATGGTAGTATGATAAATGCCACACACACACACACACACACACACACACACACACACACACACGTCTTTATGATTGGCTGCACCTGTTCACATTCCTAATTTATACCCAGGAGCCCTTGCTTGGTCTCTGGAAAGAAGAGAGGGCTTACCAGTGTTTTAAAGTATCTGTGAAGCAACGGGATGGTATTTTCACTAGACCAAAATAGGGGAAACTGAGGATCTAGGCAAATGAGTTTTTCAAGGTCACAGAGTAAATTTAATGTAGGGCCATGTTCTATCTAACATGCTAACCTATTTAGAACCTATTTAGGACCTACCAATGGTCAGGTCCACATTTGACCAATGTAGAAGTGAAGTGACTTGCTCAAGGTCACATAGTTGAAAAAAGCAGGTCCAGGTCTGCAACCCAAGGCTCCTGCTTTCTAGGTCAGTGTTCTTATTCCACATGGTGCATGTTAGCCATAATGATCATATGATCATGAGTGTGTGTGTGTGTGTGTGTGTGTGTGTGTGTGCGCGCGCGCGCACGCATGCCAGTTCTGAGGCTTGAACTCAGGGCCTTTTTAAAAATTATTATTAATTAAAAGATAAGAGCCAGGCTGGTTTTAACTTCCATCCTCAGATCTCAGCTTCCTAAGTAGCTGGGATTACGGGCCACTAGTGAGTGGCTTCATACTGTGATTTTTTGTTGTCTTAATTTTCTTCTTTTTAGTCAATTTTAGGACCAGTAAGCCTCAGTCATTCATTCATCCAGCCACTTCCCCATTCAGTTTCAGGAACCTGGATTACTCCAGTGGACCCCCTCTTTACATCCTCCAAGCCTGTCCCTTGACTTAATTCCCAGGATTATCCAGGTCCTTATGAATTTGGAGCAGGGTGGGTTATATAGCCCGCCTCTTCCCTCCTTTGCCCTCTGTGTTTTCCCTTGCGGTGCAGAGTGGACCTTATCCCCCTCATCTTCCTCCCCCCTCCTGCCACCGAGGAGTGGTATGTGCAGGATCAGAGTTCTGGAAAGGTTATACCCGGGTCCTCTCGCCCGAGTGAAATGTGAGCGCTCTGGGCAAAGGCTCCTTGCACATAGAAGGACCGAATCTGGGGCTCCGCATGCCTCGCTCCTCACCCTCTGGCCGCTGAGGGCTGGGGAAGCCGTCCAGTCCTCCCTCCCCCACCCACCTGTCGCCGCCCCCCACCCCGCGGCGGTGACCGGGCCGCAGCTCCTCCCAGCCCCCACCCGCGCCACATTGCTTGGGGTCAGCGTCACAGTCCAGGCTCCCGAAATAGCCCGGGACTGGGATAGAGACTTACCCACTGGAGAACTTTGATGAAGCCCAGCGGCTCCTCCAGCCGTCGCCAGCGCAGCCCCACGAGCAGGCGGTCCACCTGCGGAGACAGAGCCAGCGGGCAGCCAAGGCCAAAGCCCCCCCCCCCGGGGGGGAACGCGCGCCCCCCCCCCCGCTTCCCACTCCCATTGGAGCGGGAGGGGGGTCGCAGTCAGAGTCAGGGCCAACATCTAGGTGGTCAGAGGGGGCGGGAAGAGAGGGGGGAGGGCAGGGGAGGGGGAGAGCACCCCAGGGTGCGTGGGGCGTACCTGCTGGCGCGGCGACTTGTCCGCAGCGCGTCCGGAGCTCTCCGTCGAGGACATGCTGGTACAGCGGGGCGGGGGCGCAGCGCCGGAGCTCGGCTCCCTGGTCCGGGGGCTGCGGGGACCGCGCTGGAGCTGGGGGCTGCGGGCTCGAGGCCTTCGGCGAGCCGCGATCCAGGCTGGCGGGGTGGGTCTGGGTGGCGCCGCTCGTCCGGATCACGCTCGCTCCCAGGGACCGTGGCCACCGCTCTGGCCCGCCGGCTGCAGAAAGCCCTCGGGTCCGATTCAAACTTCTGTCAAACTCACTGGCGATCTTGGCAGCCGGGTCACGTGGCGCGCGTTGGGGAACCCAGGACCCGCCCCCTCTCCCCCCCTTTCTTTCTTTCTTTTTTTTTCTTTTCTTCTTCTTCTTCTGCTTGCAGGGAGCCTTAAAGGGACCTGTGGCTTCTGCGGACGGCGCCGCTCCGGGACAGTTCAGGTTCTTTGCCAGAAGCCTCCCGGACTCCCCAGTGCCAAGATTGGGAAGCCCCAGCCTGGCGCGCTGGGACCCGCGGGCTCGTGTGTGTGTGTGTGTGTGTGTGTGTGTGTGTGTGTCCGCCCTCATCCTCCCTAACCATAAGAGCCAGAACGGACAGGCTTCGCTACCGCTAGCATCGACACGCAGTCTCCTTTAAAGCAGTGAGAACTCCTTGGTGCGTGGTGCTCAGGTGGTTGTGTTTTGGGTTTCCGGGGTGGGGGTGGAGGCTGCACACGGAGGGAGCAAACCATTTGCTCGCGCGTGGAGCCCGCCAGCGGGCGCGGGGACGGCGAGAACCCGCCGGCTGACCCGCCGGCGCCCGCTCGCAGCCGGCGGGTTCCTGGGCGTCCCTCGGCGTCGGTCCTGGAGTCTGCTCCCGGCGCTTCAGAACCCAGCGCTTTCTGAAGGAATATTTGGCTTCTGTGTGCAACATTCCTTCTCGCATTGAGCAAGCGCCTTCCCCAAGGTTGGGTGGGGCGGACCAGGCTGGGTTCGTCAAACCTAAGTAGATTCCCGGGCAAATAGCGCTGAGCAAGAAGTAACTGCGTGCCCGGTCCTTTATAAATTTATAAATTGTTCTGCCGTCTGATATTACTGTTCTGTGGAATAAGAAGACTCATTTCTGTCCCGTTGACTTCATAAGGCTATCCCGAGGATTAAATTGCAGGTTGTATTGTATATTTGAGCCCCAAACAGACAAATATAAAATCATAGGTCTAACCAAGATGTGGAATAATACAGAAAATAAAAGCACAACCAGTACATCAGAATAACGAAGCCAAAATTCACATACCCACTGACAAGCCTTGTTAAACGTTAACAGATTCTCCATTTGCCTCAAATCGTGTGTGTGTGTCAGAGAGAGAGAGAGAGAGAGAGAGAGAGAGAGAGAGAGAGAGAGAGAGAGAGAGAGAGA